TCTCTTAGCGTTAAGAAATAAAATATTCTTATTTTACAAAGTGCCTTGTCTGGAATGACCCTGTTGCAAAATACACATGGAAAATAGTGCAGATGGAAACATCAGAAAACTAGAGAGCCCTCAGTAGAGGGACACATCTGCCCAATGGATGCATGTTGACCTGATTCTGTGTTTTACTGTGCATCTACTTGAGGATGAACTTTCCTTGATTTTGCCTTAAAATGATGCGTAACGTAACAAGAGCTTAGTCTGTCATGTAACACAGATATATTGTATGGAGGGGAAGTGTTTTGCTGTAACGTACACCTATGGCTAAGCACTGAATGCCTTCCTAAGTTAATATAATAACTTGTGTCTTTTTGTGCATTTTCAGTCATACAGAGCTGTTTTTGGGAAATACAACCTTTGATCTCTGTAGCAGTCACCAATGCATGAATACACACACACACACACACACACACACACACAAAACCTAAATATTAAATGGAACATTAAACTTGGCCGAGTTTAAATATAAAACAGGAGATTTATCAGAACATGACCTTGTCTCCTCTGGACACCAACAGACTCCTGTGGTCATGTTTAGAAGCAGAAGTTGGAAGGAAACAATGAATAAACAAAAAAAGAACTCTGTACTTATATCTGAATAAAAGCGTGCATCACAGACAGAAATCAGCTCTGTACCTGGACAGACATGCCATGTCACTGAGAGCAGAGTAAAGAGCAGAGCTACTTGGTTTTGTGACGATTCGTGCTCAGTGACAGTGCGGGAGGACCCAAACGAAAAGGGAGAAGGGTTAAAGGAAACAGGATTTATTTAAGGAAGGTGGTGGAGTGAAGTCTTTGGGGTTGTGATCCGAGGAAGGGGGGTCCTGAGAGTGATGCACAAAGAGCCGGTGCCCGAGAGTGTCTTGGTCCGTGGGGGTTTTTCCTAATGCAGAGAGGGAGCCGTGACGAGGGAAACTGGGGTGGTGCGCAGGGGTCCGGTGCTCAGGGTTCGGTGCTCGTGGGGGGGTACTCTCGTGAAGGATCTCCCGGTGAAGGTGTCCGTGGTCGTGGATTCCCGTGGGTGACAAACGCTGGAGTGCTTGGAGGTGTGCCGAGTGCTGGAGCCGAGGAGGAGAACTGGAGACAGGCAGAGAAACACATACAATAAACTTGAAGCTAGAGAACATCAAAATTGCTCAGCGCGGTGTAGCAGCTCGTGGCCTGACTGTACCCCGAGGTAGGTATCACAATCCTCTGGCGTCGGTCTTCTGTGAGACGCCAGTATAAAAGCCGGGCCCAGCTGATGAGCCACAGCTGCCAGCGATCTCTCCTGATCGGCTCCGCCCAGCCTGCAGAGAACAGAGACACACCCAACAAAACCCAAAGACAGACAAAATCCCCAAAATACAGTGAACACAGTCTAGGACCCTCACAGGTTTACGCTGAACATGATCCCCATCAGACAGAGAAGGAAGACAAAGTGGAGTCTGATTGTAAACTTTTACATGTGTTTGTGGAGGGGCTGCAGAGAAAAGGAAGTGGTTAGTCAAAGTGTAAAAGATCACACACTTCATGTAGAATAAAATGAATCCAGTGTAAAGTCCATGAATTCAAATCAGAAAGTTGAATTATTGCTTGATTCTTACTTGAACATACATCGGAAATTATCTCACTGATCATAATCATTTGATGAGCTGAAATATAAACAGTACATTTGGTGATGTCACAGGAAACCACCCTGATGCTTAACATGCGCTCAGTGCATGTCAAAGGTTTACCTTAATCAGGTCTCAGTGAGCTGTGTGTGTCTGCAGGAGTCACCAGCTTGTATGGACCACAATACACAATGACAAGAATCAGACCAGCCTTGCTGACGTTAATCCATCTCATTTTATAGCATTTGGTGTGCCAGCAGAATTACAGCATAAATATTGTTCATTCCTTGTGTCCACTGAGTAAAGCAGCAGAGCAACCCACACTTGTCCTCCACTGGAATAACTTAAAACAAAACTGTACTTAAAAAGTGAAACGTACAAAACACAAGTGACTTTTATGTTACAAAATTCGACAATGCACATTTGAGGAAACTTTATTGTCATTATGACAACATTCACTGTGCAATGCTACGATTAAAACATTCATGCAAAAGAACATATTACATTTCTCCTACTGCTATAAATTTAAAGGCCGATTTTAATAACTTCATGTCTTAACATGAAGACATTTGTCCTCCCTCTGATGACCTTCCTTTTAAACACCTGCTTTGATCCTAAAAAAAAATAACAGGATGTCCATCAAATTTCTTCTCCCTCTCTCCTGCGTATCTTTCAAACTTTCATCTGAATGGCCTCCCAGCTCACATGTGACCATAGATTGAATTCAGCCTCTCTTTGTACTGACTCCTCTTCTTGTTATTTGCCCTGTGACCCTGACGGAGGGTCACCTGTGAAGATAGAAGGTCAAAATAAAGTTCAATTAGGACAGAAAATAAAACAGAAAAACACAACAGCAGTAACGATGACAAAGTGCTTCTGACCTCTTCTCCAGGCTGAGGAGGATCCTGGTTCTGGGCTGGATCTCCATTCGGTGTCCTGATCCTAAACTTTCTGCAGAGATAAAGCATTGACTGATAATGGCACCTCTCTTCTCAGCACTTTCAAGGTGTTTCAGAGGCTTTATTCTACAAGCTTGAGAAAGTTAAAGTTCCGTCCATGGATAAATCACTTTGAATCTTATAGTGACAAAAGAAAATCAATGAATAATTTGAGTCTTTTTTCTTATGTATGCAACAACACCAAACATTCCTGGTTCCAATTCTTCCAATTTGCTGTTGATAAAAATATTTCTAAACTGTTGTAGCCTTACTTTTTCCACAAAGCAGAAGCAACTATTACAGATGAGAGCGTACACATTCTCAATTGCACACAACATAAAGCAGGAAATAACAGCACATTAATCAAACAAAAATGATGTTCCTTATTAAAGCGAATGTGCACAATGATCTCCATCATATTTTCACACTGTGTATGCAAGTACATGTATATGTCTTTAATTGTGCAGTAATGGGGTTGTAACTACTACCATTCTGTTCAAGTGACTCCTGACAGTAATGTGTTTGCTGGCAGAACAGAGAGTGAAGCAATAGTTTGTCTCAATCCACTGCGTCAGNCTACATGTATAAAGTCCTGCATCCTCAGGTTGAGCACTGCTGATACTCAGCTTTGTAGGTAAGTTATGGTCTATTGTCACTCTGGGAGAAGAGAAATTTGAAAGTGTCTGATTCGATGTAACAGCATGTACAAAATGAGATCTGCCTTTAAATCCAGAAGATTTGCGTTGCATTTCTGGAGGATATGTTGCAACGGAACATGACCGAGTTTCCTCTGGACACCAACATACTCCTGTGGTCATCTGTAGAAACAATAGCTGGAAGGAAACGATGAATAAACATAAAAAGAACTCTGTACTTACATCTGAATAAAAGCATGCATCGCAAACAGAAATCAGCTCTGTACCTGGACAGACGCGCCATGTCACTGAGAGCAGAATAAAGAGCAGAGTTACTTGGTTTACACTGAACATGATGCCCATCAGACAGAGAAAGAAGACAAAGTGGAGCTACTCAGTTAGCTTTTACAGGTATTTGTGGAGGAGGCGCAGAGAAAAGGAAGTGGTTAGTTGCTCTTCTGCTCAGCTCATAAAAAAAGAAAAAAAACATTGTGGAATAAAAAATCCAGTTGTGTTAAAATTATATACAGTTATTTAGTGGACATACAGACAACCAAAGTAAAATCCTTTGTCAAAATGAACTGACAACATGATCACCCAACAAATAACTTTGCCACTACTTTCAGTCACTCATGTCAGAAATCAAAGTATAAAATGCTGCTACATAAATGACTGTCTTAAAGGGCAGGAAAACCACTTCTGCATTGTGTGAACCAAGACTGTTGTGTGACACTTCACAGCAGCATTAAGTGTGGGGGACTTCATAGTGTATGCGTTAACCATAATAAACAGTTCTTGACAACGATTCTCTTGTGTTGCTCAGTGTGTGTTCGAAATAGTCGACTTGTTGTGTACCATGATGGTGAAAACCACTCATCTTAAACATCAGCAGATCCTTTTCACAGAAAACAGTCTGACACATCAAAGTCAGAAAAGCTGGTTTCTGGTAGTGTGTATGGTTTGCAATCACACTGTCATGAAAGAATCCAACAGAGCCATTGTAGAAGTTACTAGTGGCAGGTGTGTGTTCAGTCAAAACATCTGCTGTGTTCATTGTTCATCCACTAAAGGTACTGATATTATCCCCAATCACTGGTTTCCCTTATTTCCCTTAGTATGAAGGTGATGTTACACATTTGTGAGACCATGTGGATATAAACAGATGCTTAACAGAAAACTCCCAGACTTTACTTTTAGCTGCATTGCANTATGCTGAGTTGAAATCTCTGCAACTCAGGAGATTTTTCTACATATATTTAGCCTTTTTCACAAGTTGTTATGATGAGTATCCATGGCAACGGAATAATTGTCTACAACCGTGATCAACTGTTAAAACTCTCCCAAATCAAAATTTTCAGCAAAATAATACATTCTGGTAGTGGTTTATATAATACCAGCTACTGCACCAGAGACAGCCTGTGATGTCATCAGCTCCATCGTGGCTAAACTACAAACACAGCATCCAAACTCATTCATGGCGATCTCTGGAGACTTCAACAACGTCTCCCTCTCTGCTACGTTACCAACTTTCCAGCAGTTTGTCAGCTGCACCACCAGAGAAAATAAGACGTTGGACTTATTTTATGCAAATATTTAGAATGCATACAGCTCCTCTGCCCTGCCTCCTTTAGGAAGATCAGATCATAATCTGGTTCTTCTCACCTCTACCTACAAACCCATCGTTAAGCAGCAGCCAGTCATTAGGAGGACTATTAAAACCTGGTCTACGGAGGCTGAAGATGCTCTGAGTTTCTTCTCTCTGTGAATTTGTCACCCTCTACTGTTCCTTCCCGTCTCTACAGTCTCCATCTCTGCCTTCTGTACATGATATGTGAAAGGATGCATGTGTTGTCGCAGTAGGCAACAAGCAAATAATCAATTTACCAGTAATTGTTGGTATTTGAAACATGGCTGAAATATCTAAATTCTTCCTGTATGTGCAGAGTTATACAACACAAACAGATGGAAAACTTCTAAACATGTTGAATTTATTTGCTTGTACTGATTGACTGTTTTCACCAGAGCTTTGCTTTAACACAGCACCTATTAATAAACTCTTAAACACCACCTCCCTGATTTTTATGTTGTTAAAAACTCAGTGCAAATGTATATCCTCAATAGTAATGATTTGTGTATCATACTTATGCATATTATTGACACATTCTGACTTAGACCAGAAATAAATCTTGTTTTAATGAGACAAATCTGCCTTAATGGCAAGAAAGCTTTATAACTTAAAATAAGCAACTATGTTCTTGTTGGGGGAGCAGCAATAAACTCTTTTAATGGCCAATGTTTTTGGCTTTTCAAAGCAGGAAAAGCACAGTTAATGTTTTAACTCGTGCTTTCCCTGCACTCACAATTCAAAATGTATTCTGAGTTCCCATGAAGGAATGAAAATATTTTAGACAGAGGATCCCAGACATGT